TCCCTACTCAGTGTGCAGGCCCAGAGTCAGGTCTGAATCCGAGGAAACATGGGGAGGAACTGTAATTTCCTCCTTGACTTCCCTCCAGTGCCAGGCTTGTTACCAGGGACATGGTGCTACTTCTCAACATACCACATAATCAATAAAGGTCCTGGCATAACATAATGAATGAATTGAGTATATTGTTTCCACATACACTTCTGTACAGCTCTGTTTTCCATAAAAATTTAACAACTTCCCTGCCTCCCTGGGATATGTTAGAAAAGTATGAGCCTTCAGCATTTGCTGTCTCAATCCCAGCCTCAGGTAACTTCAGGACGTGGTCCTTGGATATTAACAAGTATGTATTTCAACAAACTACGTAGCAGTCAGAGGCCAGTCAGGCACAGTGGGGTCTGCCAGTATTCCAGCAGCCTGGGAGGCTGAGGCAGGAGCACCATAACGCAAGCCCAGCCTGGGCAATTTAGTGACTCAGCTGAAGTCTGTGTTAAAATAAAAAAGGGCTGAGTTGTAGCTGGGGTGAGAAAGCCTTGGGTTCAATTCCCTAGCTCAGGATTATCTGGGTTCAGGAATGCTTCTGTTGGCAAACACTTCAGTTTTGCTTTCATTCACAAACTCCCCATCAGGTGACAGACATGACCGCAGCCATCTTCCCCACACAAACAGAAACACCGCTGCCATCTTCCCCAAACTATACAACAAATATGTGCTAAATGCAGGCATCATTGTGTTACTAAAAAACAAGCAAAAGAAAACAGTCAGAGGCTATCTGGCTGCAGTCCAACTTGTTCTTTTTCCTCTCCCCTCCTTCTGCCCTTCCCTCCCTCCCTCTTCCCCCTTCTCCTCCCTGCTCCTCCACCTTTCTTTGAGAGAAGGTCTTCCTATGTTGCTTAGGCAGGCCTTGAACTTCCAGACTCTAACCATGCTCCTGCCTCAGCGTCCTTCTGAGTGCTGGGACCACAGGTGAGCACCAGCCCACCCGTGGAGGTATTATTACTATGGCTCTATTTCTTAAATGCTGGAAGTTGACCCCAGGACCTCACACATGCCATTAATCTATACCAAGAATCTGAGTGGCAATACTTTAGCTTTGTAAGCACCATAAAAATTAGCTACAAAATTTACTCTGGTCGGACACTCTAGCCAGCCTTATTAC